TGGTTTAATTGAACCATAGTGATTTTCAATCTTGAATATGGTTGTTATGGGCCCTCGACTCTATCCTCTTTAATAATTCAGTTGCGTGAGAGGTAAGATGTTTTTGTTGCAAGTCCAAGTACCCATGCGAGTGGTCTAGAACTTGCCCCGAATGTATTTCAAGGCAAAATCTTAAGTTTTGCTTGGCTTGAGAAGTGATTGTAGGCTCTCCTTGGCCCGCTTGAAGTTTTCCATTACCCACCAATGTTATTATCCCTAGTCAACCCATTTGAGCCTCATACCTTTCTCATTGATAACCATGTTACAACCCTTTACCCGTTTTGTCGTGACCCTCTCTTGGCACCCTAGCTTTCCTTAACATACTTATGAACAATTAGCTAAAAACGTAAGTTCGGGGAGAGACGAGGAATTAGAAAGAGGTTTCAAGGCACAAAAAGAGAAAAGAAATGATGATAAAGGAAAGGAAAGAAAAAGAAAGAACAGAAAGAAAAATGCCAAAAAAAATGAATAAGTTGGAGAGTTGAAGGGATTCAAAGAAAAATAATAATGAAAAGCATGGAGAAATCAAAGAGGGAGAAAATTTTAAGGCCCCATAAAAATTTACCTAAAAACCCGAAATTGGACGTTTCTGCAGCTCATTATGCGGCCGCATAATCACTTTGTGGGCTACAGAATAGCCGCAGAGTGAGGCAGTCTTTTGGTCCATTTGTGATGTCCTTTTCGCGGCCCATTATGCGACCGCAAAACTATATCGCGTGCCGCACTCTGATCGCATATCAAAACTTGAGATTTTCAGATGGAGGTTCTGCGACGCATTATGCGACCGCAGAACAGGTCTCCGGGCCGCATAACGGCCATAGACAGACCATCCCAGTTTCGGAGGGCCATTTCGTGGCCCATTTTGCGAACCGCAGAAGCATTATGCAGTCGCATATGCGATCGCAGATCCTGTTCCGGGGCTTCATCTTTTGGGTTTTTATAACCCGACCCTACTTCGTTAAAATAGATGCAAGGGGCCATTTTGAGGAAAAATCTGATATTTTGAGAGTGAGAGAAAGATCCTAGAGTGGGAGAGTGATCTTCAACCAACTATCCATCAATTCTTGCTCAAATCATTGAAGATTAACAAGGAAAATTTACTAAGTCTTCATCCTAGAGGTAAGAATTTATACCCTAGCTCTTAATTTCAAAAATTAACTAAAAATGAGTCATTAGCAAGACAATTCTTGGGTAGGGGAGTTGTTTATCTTGCATGCATGTGTTATTAAAGAGTGTAGGAAGATTGTGAGCTAAAAATGGTAAAGAATGGGTTGTGGGATGATGAAGTCTTTCATAAAAGGACCTTAAAACTTTGATGCACACCTAGCGGTTGATAAAATGCTCAAATGAGCTAGAATAATGATCACCTCCCTAATTTTGGTTCAACTTGTTATATTTCTAAAATAGTGAAGTTGCTAAGAAATTCCGGAATATTTTAGAGTTGAAGAAGCTCAATTGAGGTATGTTAGCTAAACCCCCTCTTCTTAGAATTGAATCTCACAGTGTTCATGCAATTGGTGTAAGTCCCAAATTGATCATTATAGAATTAGATATTCCCAATATGCTTGTGTTGAAGGATATATGTTCAATATGTATTCTAAATGCTTCATCATGCTATCTTATCATTTGAGGATGGGTTCAAAATATGGAATATGTGTTAAAAATGTTAAGACTTCAAGTCAAGTTCGAATGAAGGTTGATATGCCAAATTTGTATGAAAACTCTCTATGTGCCTAAAATTTCTAAATTTCTCATATGTGTATTTAATGTCTTGAATGGAAATCCTTATTGTTGTTGATGATGATAATGATGTTGGAATATGGAAAGTGAACTTGAATTATGAACTATGACCAAATGCCAAGTATGATGTTACAATTGTGGCCACTAGTGCCGAATGAATTGAAAAGGTGTGAAAGATATATGAAGTGAGATGATTGATAGAGAATGGTAATGTCTCGGGTGAGACAGCCTAGTCGATCGGGCCGTGATCGGAAGCCATGCCACACATATGGTGGTGACTATGCTGGAAATTATAATTGAAATAGTGATTATGGTGGATGTCTCAAATGAGACGGCTAGCCGATCGGGTCGTGATTGGAGTGTAAGAATACGTGGTATGTGATTGTATATCGGTATTAAAGATCTCCTAACCTAAGATCATGGAAATTTACTTGAAAACTTATATGATTCTTAACTTGATGTTTTGGCATTGTTTGAGGCTTCTATTGATTTCATGATTGTTCCTCCTTGTGTTGGTGTTCATTCTATTGAGATAGTGTTTAGTTATACATACTAGTACTATTCGACGGTACTAACGTCCCTTTTGCCGGGGGCGTTTCATCTTTAAATGGGTGCAGGTGGTTCCATAGCAGGCAGTATTGATCAGCGATAGTGGTACACCCTCTTCCCAGCAGGCTTGGTGAGCCCCACTTCATCCAGGGATCATGTGTTGTCTCTTTTGTTCATATTATTATCACGTTTTGAGGTGCTAGAGCCTTGTTTCCAACACTATCATTATACCCTTCTGTATCTTTTAGAGGTGCCGTGGACATAATGTGGGTTGTATATTGGTGCTAGAAAAGTCAAACAAGTTATGTTGTGTTTTGATCACTTGTTCCACTTCAAACTATAAGAGTGTGTGTATTTTGAGACTTTAAAATGGAGTAACTAATGAAATGATTTAGTATTGTATACATGATCTCCCTACTGTCTAATTAATAAAAGTATGTCTTCTCTTGATCATGGGTGAATGGGTAGAATAAAATCTAACAGGCTTGCTCGGCCAGGTCCACTCGGTTGAGCACCGGTTGCGCTCCCTCTGTTTGGGGCGTGACAAAATTGAATGTCATGATCAAGAAAGAGTGATGTTAAGCCTCTCTAGTACCCCCAAGAAAAATAAAATGCCTCAGAGAATTGGCAAAGCATGAGCCGAGAACAGAAAATGGAGTGCTTAAAGAAAGATGAACCCGTTCTATCATAGCATATCCAACCTTAGTCCAAAAGCTTCATTACATTCCAAAAAATCCCTATGTGATTTTAAGCCGAGTGATCTTACATTAGTGGTGATCTACATGAGGTGCAAGCCTATGGTACTTAAAGACGTACTTGAGATATTCTTTTGAGAGAGATGAGTCAACCTTTCACAAATTTTTGGATTGAGTGCTAAAATTTCTAAGAAATATAGGCAAACAGAGAGTAGAGGAGGAGGAGTTTGGAATCCACAATGACCTACATGAAAGAGCGGGCTTCCTTGATGAATAAAGTCAACTCTTGATGCAAAAGTGTCACATTAGAACTATATGTGCATAAAAGTTTAACTTGTCGCCTTGTTGATATTGCATAAGTAGTGTGGGTAATTGTTGGTCCCAATTGATGTGTGAATGACTCACTTTTGATTGGTTGGAATGGCCCTTAACGTGTGGAGATGGGAAATAATTTATTTGCTTGAGGACAAGCAAGAACTTAAGTTTGGGGGAGTTGATAAGTGGGGATTTTGACTACTTATTAGCACCATTTCGCTTTTGTTTTAGTCCACAAACGGTTAATTGTGTACCCAAAAACTGACGAAATGTGCTTAATTGTAAGAATATTGGAAGATAAACTCCCGAGATGAAATACAACTCAAGAGGGAGTAATCTGAACTCAAGGACCTAAACGACACAGAAACTCATAAGTGTGGACCGCAAAATATCATCTGATGCTGCAGATTATGAAGGAAAAATCAGCAAAGTTTGGTGCAAAGTGCGGTCCGCACATGAATTTTGTGGTAGCAAAAGCTGGGCCAGGAGAAAAGTTCATAGAATGTGCATTCCAAGTCCATCAAAAGTGCGGACCGCACAAGAATTTTGCGGCCGCAAAAGAAGAGCTATGCGGCCGCAAATGTAAGAGTGTAGACTGTAGAAGAGCAAAGTGCGGCCGCACATGTAAAAGTACGGACCACAAAAAGAGTGCCTTGTGGCCGCAAATCAGAATTATGTGGCCGCAGACTTCCAGTCCTGTCAAGTTGAAGAAAAGTGCGGATCACACATGGAATTATGTCGCCGCAGAACTTTTCGAAGGGCATTTTGTCCGAAATTTCTAGCTCTGTATAAGTAGACAAGTTTCACAATTTTTAGGTTAACTTTTGACCTCAGCAGTAGCCGTTTCTCTTTATTCCTTTTAGTAATTTTTCATATTTTTGGGATGTTTTAACATAAATTTTATCATTTTCATTTTGCAGTATGAGTTTAATTAGCAATTTCTTCTTCTATTTCTTCAATTTCAAGCATGAGTAATTAGATTTTACTAGAGTTGTAACCCAAACCTAGTGTGTAAACCTTATGGGTGATTAAGTTTATGCTTGTTTATGAATGGTGTGTATTATTTAGCTTGGTTCATGATTTATTTGTGGAATTAGTGGTTGCAAACGTTAATTCATGCCTATATGGCTTAGTCTTTTCTTGAGAGAGAGGGATCTAGTCTAGGTTAGCTTAACTAACAAGGAATTGGGTCAATTGAGAAATTGATTAACCCAATCAAAGGGTTCAACCTAGAGATAGTAACAACACGACTTGAGCTTTTATCAACCGCTTTGGTAGATACCTATTTGGTATTGAGAAAGCCAAATTGGGCAAAACCACTATTTGACCGAGAAGCAAAATTGTGTTGTGAGCTATAATACACCCAGTCAATAAAATGAGCGTAAAAGTCTTTATCTCATTAGGCAAATACCTAGGTTGTGGTCATAACCCTAGGCCTTTTATATCTTTGGAAATATTCAAAAACAACCTTCTCTAGCTTTAAATATGTAGATTTGCAATTGTTAGCTTAATTTTAGAAGTAAAAGCAAAATCATATTTGTGGAAGTGCAATCTAGACATTTCATTCACTTATCCCGAATATATACTACTAACTCCCATATACAACTCCCTGAGGAAATCGACCCTGACTCTTGTTGGGTACTACTATTGCAATCGACCGTTTCATATCCTTGATTTGAGGTGTGATTGGACGAGATCATTGATCCCGAGTTCAGCTTCACTCGGTCTTACTGTGATTGGTTCATTTCTACGAGCATTTTCCCGGGATGGTTCGGGCTTGACTCTGCTGGGGTGCGGCCTTGGTTCTACAACTGGGCTATCGCTGCTTGTTGAGCCTGCAACATTTCTCTGCGGTTAGTTCGTTTCTACGAGCGTTTTCTCGGGATTGTTCGGGCTAAACTTTGCTGGGGGTGCGGCTTTGGTTCTGCAGCTGGGCTATCGCTGCTTGTTGAGCCTACAACATTTCGAAGATCACTCGAGAGTTGATCCTATCACCTTCGCCGTCGTGTGTACTCCGGGCTACCTATCGGGCTCCCCCATGGATGTTGTTCTTAGGGTTGGGAGGCAAGTTTGCACCGATAGCCACATGTGAGCGGCCATAATCTCATTGGGGTTAATAGGGGCACCTTGTTGCTGGGCACCACATTGTTGTTCTCTCCATGGTGGCAAGACTCAGCATCGACATTCAAAGGGGAAGATTGAGAGTTTGACATTTTTAATCTGACCTGAAATTAAAAGCTCAAAAGACACGCGTAAAATAGAGTGTGTTATGAAAATTTGTATCCAATTGCCACTATTATCCTTAGCCCTATGGTGGGTGCCAAACTGCTTACCCAAAAAACAGATAACAATTAAATTTATATGTGGTTTTAAGGATATAAAGATTAATTCAATACAAATGATAAGTTGCGTTAGAATAAACAGATAAAGAAAGTTATAAATTGTCAGACCACTTAAGAGGAGTGATCCCGGACTCAGTAACAGCTTTAATGAAATGCTTGCGTTCGATCCCGGGCTCACAATAATGAAGAACTGATAAACAAAAGCAAGAACTTCGAATAATAGAGAAAATGAGAGTATATTACCTTGATATGTGTGTTACAATGTGTTTTAATGAATAGTTAGACTCCCCTTTATATAGTAGAGGAGTTTTACCCTAAGTACAATTCAATAAAAGGTAAAAATCTTCCGTTTTACTAATCATTGATTTTCTGTCGATACGTGCGGAGATTCACGCCGTGACATCCGGCTGGACACGGATATCACGGCCCTTTGTTAGTAGTGCTTGATTATCTGATAATGTTCTCCGAAGTTTTGGGATTCGAATTGGGCCTGGGGGTGCATGGTCCCGATTACTCCGAGGGCAGGTGTCTTGCCCGGACCCCGACTCGAGGGGCTCCTTGCCCCAATTCCGGTTCCTTACAGTCACATCTATGCTCTGTTTACCTCATCGTGAACCGAAGCGTCCAAAGGGCTCGGTTTCACCCGTATACAGACATTTTACTTAGGGATCTCGGTGTAACTTTGCCGCAAAAATATATTAAGCCTTGTACAGTTGTAAGTTCAATCTTTTGTTTTCTTTGCTTGATCACCAAATTCTTATGTTACAGAAAACAGAGGTCCCATCTGGAGATCTAATGGCGTTTGTTGCAAAACCGAAAAGGAATCCCAACCAAGTTTAGTTGAAAAGAAAGTTCGACAAAGAATTGAAGTCTTTTTTTTTTTTTTTTTTGAAAAAAGAAACAGTTTTTGAAAACAAACGTCTAAGCTTTTAAACTCTTGATTGATTGTTCCATTGGAATTTGGATCAGAAGTGCAACTTTAGGTGGTGATTTGTTCCAAAAACAAGGCGAATCTTTTTCGACCACATACTCTTTTTCAAATTTTGAACAACTAACGCCGCTGCAATCAAGATACAAGGTCAAGTACAAAATTTTGCTATCTAAATTGTTGGAGTAATAGGGAGGAAAGCATTGACCGGAATGCAGAACTAGCTTCTACTTCAAGAAAGTGGATTCATGAGATTAACTATATTTACAGAGATTAATCAAGATCTCATATCCAGAATATTATAAGAAGAAAATAAAGTCGTGTGCATTATTAATTCCAATCAATCAGAGCTGAAGCTCATGCCACGATCCACAAACAGACAGTACTATACATAAAGATGATTAATGAGTGACAACGCATTGCTGGACAGTTTAATAATAACTGACATGCTTCTATTTATGATGTCCTTCACATCTGGATTTACCTTCCGCCCGGAGAAACCATCAGTGCATGAATCTGCGTCTGTTATTACAGCACTTGCGTATGTCTTGGCATTAGCCAACTGAAATTCCTTATTTTCATCACCTAAATGTCCCATTGCCTCAACAGCCAACTTGAGTTCGTACACTGCATCCTTGACATCTTCCATGCAGTCTTTAATAGCGGCGGCTTCATATCGGGTTATTCCCTTCTGTTCTTTCTGTCTCGAGACAATAACAGAGGCATCACGTGCGCCTTTTATGGCTACGTTAAGCGCTGTTATGCATAGTATTGTGGAGTTGCTTTTCACTGATGAGGCATAGGGTACTAGTGTTTTTTGGCAAAGTGAAGGGTATGTGGTGATGTTGCATTTGGTTTTGACGAAGTTTGTGTAGGCTGTTTTAGAGTCTTTGGCTGCTGTAACTGCTGGCTGTGTTAGCGAGATGAACAAAACAATTGCCAACAGGGGCAACATCAAGCTTTTGCAAGTAGACACCTCCATTTCTCCTGCTATAGTGTTAACTAGCTATTGTATGTATCTAGGAGGTTGGGAAATGATGTGTAGTTGAATATGTTATCGGGAACAGAGAGAAGATCATGTGAATGTATTTATAGAGATCTAATTGGCTGCCTGCAGGGAGGATTTCTCTTAATTGTTCAAATCTGATCATATTATGAAATACCAATAAAATGGCTGTAATTAAGCTGCACACAAATGAGTTGTGAATGTGCAGATCACCTTATCTCTCGCCGTCACCAACGGCAACAGTCACATGGAAATTGAAAGATTGAAAGTTTGTAAGCAAAGTCAAATTATTGCAAGGTCAACTTATCAAAGGGTGAGGAGGCGGATGTATGCCTTTCAATATACGTATATATAACACATTTAACACCTAGATCCTTCTAGTGGCGAAATTAGGAATTTCCCAAGGTATTCAAATTTGAAAGAACGGTGGTCAACTGACCACTCTTATGACCATGTGGCTTCGCCACTGGATCCACCTATGGTAACTACTTACATGTATGGAATGTTTAAACCACCGAGTGTTTACACCTAATCAATCAGTTTAATCTTAGCAGTTAAAAATTAAGATTAGAATACGTATCATGGTCAAGTGATAAATAAATGTGTGAAGATATCTATACAGATTGGTTTAATGTAAACACCCAATGTGGTAAAGTTTTTGCCTTCGGGGGATTCAGCTATTGCACATTATATACTAGGTTTAAATAAAGCATTTTATCTAGGGTCTGAAACGTGATAAAAAGATTCCAGTATTTAAGATTATCTTGGGTACGAGAGGAGTGGATCGTAGGACTGCGTGAACGTGGCCAGAAAATGAACGAAAAAATGACAGCACAAAATATTGCGAAAGAGAAGGCGGTGTCTATGAATAGAAGTTAGCGGAGAAAAAGAGAGGGAAAACCTCGCATGGCCTCGTTGCTTTCTTTATTATTAACCTTATTGATTATGCCTTAGGCAAGACGTCTTGTAACTAGAAAGCTTACGTTTTATGAAACTTATTCGTGTGGATTTTTGAATGTCATAGTGATTTGAATATTTCATTTCACTTAACTTCTGGAGGGGATTAACAATACCTCTGTTGTTCAATAGCAAAAAAGAAAAAAAGAAAAAAAAGTGTCCCTCCCTAATTAAGTGGCAACCAAGTTGGAGTGTATGGCAAGTATGCACTAGGCATACGTACGAGGTTGATAAATGATAACCCAATAGTTGCTTTGGGCCGTTTTAGACGTGCCTTACATTAGGATGAGTCTTGAAACAAGTTCCAACTTAATTTATTTGAACACAAGGGCGGATTCACCTTGCTTTAAGTAGCGGTGTCATCTCGACACCTCTTCCTTAGAAATTTATTGCATATATATGTATAACTGTGGAAACAAAATATGAATAAAGTAGGAAACAAAATATGAATAAAGTAAAATAAATGACTTCTTTTGCAGAGGTTAAAAATATAATAGGTTCAATAGACCATAAATTAAGTTTAATTTCTAAATTCTCGTATGTTCATTTCTCACCAAATGATTGTTCGCTGGTGAACTGCCTCTTTCCTCTCAAGGAGGTTGAGGCCTTGAAGGTTTGAACCTCAGTAAGTACAGCGTGCTGTCTCTAAAATTTCTTTGCCTTTATCTGCTGCTAACACTCTGTTTGGATCATTGTTCCCCATCGTTTTATAATATATTGTATCGTATTGTATTGTATCATATCGTTTTTATGAATACAATGTTTGAATAGATTGTATTGTTTGTTATTGTTAAATAATATTTTGCTGTTTGGTTTGACTGTATCGTACTGTACTGTAGCTGATAAATTTACTAAAATACCCTCAATTGTTTAAATATTAGATTTATCAAAAAATACGCATAAAAATAATTTTAAAAAACAAAACAAAAGAAGGCAAAACACCTTAAGAAAGCATAACAAAGGAGTGAGACAGAAGAAGGCAAAACAAAGGAGCACAGCTAATTAATATTGAGTTAAAAGCAAATTAGGAGAAAAAATAAAACAGAAGGCGGCAAAACACCTTTAACGTTGGCGGCAGAAGTTCTGGAAAAAAATAAAGTAGTTTATAGGTTGGAGATTTGGAGTTAAAATAGCAAAAAAAGCTAAAGGATAAAATAGAATTGTGGAGTAATAAGTTAGGGCATAATTGGAAAGAAAAATACGAAACAATCCCACCACACCAAATCGGTTGTTTCAACAAAGGGGACTTTTCATTATTCCGGAACAATGAATTTAACAATACAATACAACCAATTTTAATGAAACAATCAAAACAAACATTGTTTCAAGATGACAATACAATATGATACAATGGGGAACAACCATCCAAACAAGTTGTAAGAGTTAAGATGTCAGCAACCCCAAGTTTGAACTGTCGACCTCTTATATCAATTAACAACAACTAAACCAATGTACCCAGATCCCTTTCAATATATAATACTGATAAAGTTTGGATTGAACGTTAATCGGTGAAAATCTACATCTACCTTGGGTTCATATGGGTCGTTAAGAGAGAAAAAAGGATTTTCTCCATATCATTTATGTGTAAATGAAAGTGTTGTCCCTTTACAATACACCGACCACTTATCTGAAATGGGCTCGGCCTGCCTAGCTAACTAATGTAAAGAGGTACATAAATACCGGAGTGGGCTTCTGGGCTCAAAGTAAAATAAGAAGTCCAAAACTAAGTAATAGCATTTGCATATATCTCAATAACCCCCAACAAGTTGGAGGGTGAGACAACCCCAACTTGCAAAGATGCAAATGATGAACAGCTCCATCCAAGGGCTTAGTGAACATGTCAACAAGCTGAGTTGCACTGGAAGTGCGTAATAGCTGAAGCATACCCTTATTCAACTTGGTGCGAATAAAGTGGCAGTCCAACTCAATATGTTTGGTGCGTTCATGGAAGACATGGTTCTTAATAATATGTATGGCTACCTGGTTGTCACAAAACAACCTAACAGGAGAGCAATTGGTAATGCCAAAATCAGATAGAAGCATGCAAACCCAAGTAATCTCAGCAGTGGTCTTACTCATAGACCTATATACTTCCAACCCACTAAACTCCCCCCCCCCCCCCAGTAGGATACAAAAACCACCGATAGACTTCCGACTATCCGGGCAAGGCCCCCAATCACTATCATAATAGACACTAAGAGAGAGGTCAGAGGAGGCATTATATAAAACTCCAAAATTAGGGGTACCCTTGAGATACCTGAGTAGACACAATGCAGCCTACATGTGAGGAAGGCAAGGTTTCTGCATAAACTGACTTAAATGTTGCACGTCAAAACAAATGTCAGGTCTGGTATGGGTTAAGAAATTAAGTTTACCCACCATACACCTGTAAGTTTGAGGATTAGGTAGGGGATTACCCTGATCAGCTTTCAACTTATCATGCATTTCAAGATGAGATACAACTGATGAGCAATCAGAAGAATGAAATTCTATGAGCAAATAATGCACAAACTTCTTCTGATGAAAGAGCACACCATTTCAAAATATAAGACTTCAATGCCCAAAAAGTAGTTAAGTTGACCTAAAACCTTTTTTTTAAAATTGATCATGGAAAAAAGTTTTAATAGCAGGGATTTCATACAAATCTGTCCCAGTGATGAGAGTGTCATCAACATAAACCACTAGAATCACAAATTCATTACCAGAACCACTAGTGAAAAGGGAGTAGTCATTTAAGGAATGCACATACCCTCTAGAATATAGTGATTGAGACAACTTGGCATACCACTGTCTTGAAGCTTGTCTCAAACCATTTAAAGATTTCTTGAGTTTGCAAACCTTAGAAGTAGAAGGAGAAAGGCTTGAGAATGATGGTGTACAAGAAGAAACAGAAAGACGAGGTGGTATTTTCATGAAAACTTCCTTATCTAGGTCCCCATTCAATAAAGCGTTATTAACGTCTAGCTGAAATAATGGCCATTTCCTTTTTGCAGTTATAACAATTAAAATTTTGACAATAGACATTTTAATAACAGGTGAAAATATTTCATGAAAGTCTATGCCTTCAACCTGTGTGTCACCCCTCACCACAAGTCTAGCCTTATATCTTTCTACGCTCTCATCAGCTTTATACTTAATTTTGTATATTCATTTGCAGCCAATTGGCTTTTTGCCTTTAGGTAACTCAACTATATCCCAGCCCCATTAGCCTCTAATGCCTCAAACTCTCTTCTCATAGCATCCTTCCACTCAGGGACAATTACTGCCTGAGATTAAGTATTAACCTCAAATACATGATATTCACTAAAACTGGACACAAAAGTGGAATTAGCAGACCTGGAACAATTTGATGAAAAGTTTCAAACATAATTCTGCAGGTAAGAAGAAGGATTATGGGGCTTGGAGGATCTCCTCAATGGAGGAGATTCAGAATTATGAGTAGAAGAAGAGGAAACTAGAAAAAGAGGGGGAAGCAATCGCAGGCACCTCAGAATCAGGACAGTCAGATGAAAATTAGTTGTGAGAGTTAGAACATACAGTTGAAGAAGCAAACAATAGAGATAAAGGGGAACTGGATGGGGACAGGTAAGATTTAATCAGGAACTTGAGAGGAACTCTGCTTAGCAGAGTGGTCATAACAAGGAAAAAAGGGCAAATTGGACATGGTAGGAGAGATAGTACCTATTTGAACAAAGAGGAATATATGTTCATGAAATATGACATCTCTGAAAATAAAACAGGTTTTATCCTGCAGGTCATACAGCTTATAGGCATTCTTTCCAAAAGAAAATCCAAGAAATAAACAAGGAACAGCTCTATGATGCTCTCTATGAGGTTCTGGAACAGTGGAGTAAGACAAATATTTAAAAGCTCTAAGATTGGAATATATTGGGGGTTTGTTATATAATCTCACAAGGGCTTTTGTCTTTTAAAAGACTACAAGGAAATTTATTTATCAGTTAGGTTGTAGTTAGAATGCAATCTCCCTAAAGCCTAAGAGGGAGACCAAATTGAAAGAG